GCGGTGACGGCCCCACATGGGACGCAGTGGAACGACGCGTCATCTACGACCTGCACAGACGCGCCGTCTTTCGAGATGAAGACGCCAAGGGCGTCACCGACACCAACGTGCCACGCGCCGCCCATCCTGATCGACCAAGCGACATCACCGCTATGTCGCACTGCCGTCCACGGCCGGAGGCCCCTCCCGCGAGCGTCGCCCGCTCGTTTGTGCCGATGGGCAACGACGTATCTGCCTTCGGCAACGTGAACAGTTTATGTCGCAGCTTCAAGCAGGCAGATGACGTGCCCGCGATGCCGCGCGCGCCAAACTAGGGCCAGGAGCGCACGAACAAGCTCGACATGACTCACTGGCCTCGCCCATGTCTTGCCACCTGCAACCCCGCAAAGAAAGAAGTTGCGGCTGAACCGCGCGAGAAGGACGCCATTCGAAAGGGGTTGGTAGGTTTGGAAAAGAAGCAAGCTTGGATGGTCGAGACAGTCACGGAGCGTGCCGGCGTTCAGGCCAACGCGCGCAAGACCGGCAAAACAGTAGTTCATTCTGCCTACACGCTGGAACTCTCCCCCCGTCAAACACGCAGGGGTGCCTCCATAATTTCAGAAATTCAAGGGCTTCGTCCTGGTTCTGGGCGACAGCGTGAAAGACGAGAGCGGCTTCGCCGCTGCATTCGCCGACGCCGCCTCCAGTGTTTCGCGCATCGAGACCTCGAAGCCGTGTGGCGCCGCAGCACTACTGCCAGATGGTGGAGGTGAGCAAAGCGACGCCCCTGGCGCATGCGCACTAAACCGTTGCTCTACGGCGACGGCCGGATCGCCCCTGTTGACGCAGGGGTTATTTCGCCCAAGTGGCGCCGGCCTGCCTCTTGGTCGGAATTCAAGAACCCTGCAAGTCGACTGCGCCTCGCTCTCTATGGCCACCCTTTGGCGGGTGTATTCTGGGAGCGTCACTGCCGCGTTTGTCTGGGGCCAATGGGATTCCGACCCATCCCTGGATGGGAGTGCGTCTGGACGCGCGCGAAGTTGAATCTCGGCTGATCCGTCTACGTCGACGACTTCAACATGGCTGGTCCAAAGACCAACCTGAAACCTGGATTGGACCTGACCCGACGCAGCGGCATTGAGATCGACCCATGTACTCCATGCGACCGCTACTTGGGCTGTGGTCAGGACACGTGGACAGTGCCACAAAGCGTCTTTGACAAACGCATGGCCACGATCCGACCCATGCTCTTAGAGCATGGTATTACACAGTTCACATTTGCATCCAGCGTTCGTGGGATTCGACACGATATGCTTGGCTTTACTGACCAGTGCAGTACTCGGTACTTGGAATGCTCGTCCAAGCTGCCTGGCATGCCCGGCTCGAGGGGGAAGAGGTCGCCCTCGCCCAAGCCACGCTCACCACCGCCCAGATCTTCTCGGCTGATAAACACCCGCCGCCAGATTTTGTGCGTCGTCAGGACAAACAACCACGAACGACGCTCTCCGCATCACATGCAATGATCTCCCACGCGCCGACACCCCTGGCATCGAGGACGTGTCCTTCACTGAGCGGGACTACGCGGACGAAGGGGTCCTCGGCCCGGACGCAGCGAGTGCGCTGATGAAGATAGTGTACCTGGCGCGCTGCTGCAGGTTTGACCTCATGCGCCCAGTCTGCGTGCTGGCACGGGAGATCGCCGAATATAGTTATACACGTGACAAGCCTTTGTATCGATTGAGGCTACACGCGCGCACTGCCTCCATGGATGGATTGGTGACAGTTCGGACAACATGTCCATCGTGCTCTGCGCTGGCGCATCTTTCGCGGACTGCGCCGACAGCTCAAAGTCGACCGCCGGCGTCTTCGTGGCGCTGGTGGGTCCCGACGCATTCTTCCCGTTCAACGCCGTGTGCAAGAAGCAGATTGTTGTCTCGCGCTCTTCCTCAGAGTCCGAGATCGTGGCTCTTTACGCGGCTTTGTGTGCCAGGGGTCCACCATTGCTTTCCTTTTGGGAGGTTGTGGTTCATGGCCCACTACGGAGGAATAGTAGTGGCATATCCATGGCCGTCAAGAAGAAGCGACGCAAGGCGCCTCCACGGAAGGCGCCGCCAACCCGCGCTTCCTCTCCCGGGCCCAGGACATTGACTCCGAGCGACGCCGCCATTTCCAGATCCATCGTCCAACATCGCGCGCGAGAACATCGTATTCCATGCCCCGCGTTTTTCTTCCACGCCAGCGCCGTCTCCCATGGTGCATCTTATCGTGGCAGAGGACAACCAGGCTGCAATTGCGATGGCACAGGAAGGGCGCACACCCGCACTGCGCCATCTTCATCGCACTCACCGCATCAACTCGGATTGGATTACGGAAGCATGCCAGCGGGAACAAACACAGCTCACACATGTAGGGGCAATTCGCAGGTTGCCGACATGATGACTAAACATTTTGAATTCAAAGGCTCACGCTCGGCAAGAAGTACTGGAACTATCGCTCATTTTCCCCGCCAGTAACCCGAATGCCGAGAAGATGCCAGAGGCCGCCAATACCGCCAGCCCTGTTGCGGCTGGCCCTCGTTCCTCCCCCCTCGAGTCTCCCATCCGCACGCGCGCGTGCGTTGTCAGGAGTGCCTTTGTCATGGCCGTTCAGAACCTCGAGCGCACTTGTTCCACGAGCCCCCTCCTAAGAGAAGGGGGCAGCCCCCGCCGAACGGCTCGCTCCCAGGACGAGCTCCACGGCGCGCGGGCCGGTGGAAACACCGACGTCGGCGCCGATGGAGATATCCGCGCGCGCCCAGTTTTTCCCCCGAGGGGGCGCGCCCTCGCTCGCTGGGGGATTATTATGAATTTCCTCCTCTACCGCGAGCGGCGCCCCGACGGAAGCAGGCCACGCGCGCTGCGCTCGAGCAAACAGGGCTTCATGACCACCGCCAATAGAGCGGTTGGTGGCTCGTATCTTTGGCGAGGCAGGCGAGAATGAGGTCGCATTCGTTGCGGGCGTCAATTGTTGGTTCCACGATCATCTGAACAGGGGCGCCGCGCAGCAGATCGCGCGCGAAGACGTCGACATCGCATTTCCAGGTCAGAGATCCGACGCCGCAAAAGATAAATATGCTCCAGGAAGCTTGCCTCGAAGGCAGAGAGCAGGCATCAAGGGTGGCTCGCCTCGGGGCAACGTTCGGCTCGCCAGCGCCGCTTGGGCGGCGCCGAGGTCGATATTTTGGATTAAACACAGCCATGCCAGAACATTGTCCTTCGTTCCAGGGGGCGCCCTGTCTCCCGGAGGCAGATGGCGCGCGAACGCGACGTGATCAACGAGCACCTTGTGACAATGGAAGACACGAGAATAGCCGCGCGCCTCCATGCCGAAAGCGTCGCGTAGAGTCAATGCACCTGGCCCGATGAGTCGCGCTGAGCGCTTGGGAAGGGGGCGTCGTGACCTTCTCCGCCCCCACTGGGAAGGGGGCGCGTCAGGGCCGCGTGGCCCCGACGCAGCTCAGAGCGGATTGTCGCACCAGCAAGGGGGGGCAAAGCCTCGGCAGGGGGATCGACCCTGTCACCGACCTCCGTTCTGCCGCCCCACCCCCCGCGCCTCCGCCGCCGCGCCGCGATGGGCCGGCCGCGGGCGCTGCCTCCTCGCCGGGCGCGGCGTCGCGCGGCGGCCTTGCTCTTGGCCGCGCTGGCTGAACTGGCGGCGCCGCTGCAGCTGCCGCGCCAGGTGCGGCGACGGCGCGGAGGCCGAGGGCGCCGCCGCGCCGGCCGCGATGCCCGCGCCACGTGACCAGCAAGCGCAGCTGGAGCGGCACTCGCAGGGCGCTGCCAGAGGCATGGCGGCGTGATCCCTTGGAGCACTACCGCGACAACGCGCGCCGCTACTGCTCATGCCACTTGAAAGACTGAGTCTACGTTGGCAAGAACGAGTGCGAATGCATGTGGGTTGATAATATCACAACACGCACAAGTGGGCGCATTTGGGATCCTGCATACTA